AGTGGCTCTTCACACATGGAGCACATCCTGGCAACACAAGGACAAAGTATATCATCCCTCACTTGTGGACAACCTTACATTTGTCTGTTGAGCAGCTGGTGGCTGGCTTCACTTGTCCTCCTTCTTTCATGATTTTTATTTACCAAATTCTACCAAGAGGTAGAATTGGGAGAGAGAAAAAAAAAAAAACCTCAGTCATGTTTAAGTTTCCTGGGCTGGAGGTATAACTCAGAGGTAGAGCATTTGCCTAGAAGTAGGAGGGCCTGGGACCATCTCCATCACTGAAAAAGAAAATTCCTGGAGGGACCAAGTGGTCTGTGCATGGTTGTGAACCTATGATTCATTTTGAATACATCATCAATGTCTCAACTGTTACACTGATTGCATATTTTTGAGATATATATATATATATATAATGTTTGCATAATTTTTGAGATATAATGTTCATCACTTCTTTGAGATTATGGTGGCTGCTGCCAGGTCCTGTCATTTAACATGTTAACAAACAGGCACATATATTATTTTATCATTTTAAAGTTGTTTGGGTAGCATACTTCAATGTAATTGGTTGCCATTTTCCTATTTACCAAACGTGTGGGTTTTAGAGGTGTCTGTGGACTTACTCATCTTTCCAAACAAGGCTGTGGCAGGAAAAACTGCCAACTCCTCATGTTCCTCAAAGGAAACCTTGTGTTCAAAATATGAAGATGCTAATTGAAATGCAAGCAAGGACAAGCACTGGCTTACTGCACTTCGTGCACTGCCTGAACGTCTAACTACATTAACTACTTCTCCATGACCACCCTGCAGACAGGCACTGGGGAGCCCTCTTGCAGATGAGAAAGCCACAGTATGGAGGACCACACAGCCTGAGGGAGAAGCAATGAAGCTACATCTTCTGGAGGGCCCTGGATCTCGGCTCTACTCAGCTTTCACATAACCTTGAGATGACTGGCAGCCACAGAGAGATGACTGTTGATCACGAACCTCTCTGTTTTCTAGGATCAGCTTCTCCTTGGCTTCTGAGTAACTTCCCCTATTACAGGAGGAGTCTAGGGCACTTTTATACCTGATCTGTATGCCAGGCTGGGATTCAGAGTGACCACCTGTCCCTGAGAGTGACGCCTGTTTGACTAGAGGACAGCAGACACCCCTAGCATGCCTGTGGCTTAGAGCAGAAGCTGCACCAGTCCCTCATGTACCTTGCAGTCAGGACTACCCAACAAATGATCAAGGTGCACCTCCAGGACAGGGAGCTGAGCCCATCCTTCTGACTTCACGGACTGGGGAACTGCAGTTCAGGGCACAGGCCTCATACAGCTCCCTCACACAGGCCAGGTGCTGGCCAGGGACATGAGTGCTGTGCTGCTGCAATATTTTCAGTTTGCACCAGGCTCATTTTCTATTTTCCTTTGTCGTCTCTGGGTCACTTGGCCCAAGATAGCTCCTTTATTTGGCATTCAAGGTTCTGTTCTCTGAGGACAAAAGCTCCTGAAGGCTCCTACACTCATGCATCTTGGTCAGGAGGTACCATGCATACTGGCCCAAACTGACTGCAAGGCAGCCATGGATGTGTAGGCCTGCTCAGTGCCACTTGTAGCAGGTAAATGAGCCATGAGCCTTACAAGACCCAGAAGTGATGAGGTGCTTTATATGACTCATGCTACTTAAAACAGTTTCACTGAGATATAATGTACATACCACATAGTGTAGCCATCTAAGTGTGCAGTTCTGTGTATCAGTATGCACAAACATACTGTGCACACCTATAATCACTGTTCCACAGTAAGACAAAGCAGAAGGATTGCAAGTTGGAGGCTAGCATGGGCAACTTAGTGAGGCTGTATCTCAAAAATCAACCAATCAATCAAAGGAGTAGGGGGTATAACACTGGGTTCAAAAGAAAAGGAGCCCCATATCCTTCAGTTATCAATAGTTGCCCCACCATATCCCTACCTACTTTATGTTGCTGTATGTTTTCCCATCTTGGCCATCTCTCATGAGTGGAGTCAGGCTACATGTGGGCTTCTGTGCATGCCTCAGGCACCTGGTAGCATGTTTACACAGTGTGATGGCTCCATCGGCTTCATGTTTCTGTCTGGACAGTATTCTGGTATTGATTATTCTGTACTTTGTTTATCATTTCATCAAGCGATAGGCACTGGACTGTTTCTATCTTGTCTGATATGGATACAGCTGCTATGAACATTCACACATAAGTATTTGCATGGACATGTGTTTTCCTTTCTTTTGACATATACCTGGGCATGAAATTGCCGAGTCATACGGGGAGTCTAGGTTTAGTCAATTGAGTAACAGTTGCATGGTCTTCCAAAGGGACTGTACCATGTTCCTTTCACACCAGCAGGTCTGATTTCTGAGGATCCATGCCAACATTCACTATTATCTGTCTATTTTTGATTATGGCCAACCTAGTATATTCAAAACGAGAACCAGAAATCTCAGTGTGGTTTTGGTTTGCATTTCTCTGATGACTAATGAAATTGGACATCTTTTTATGTGCTTCTCACCATTTGTGTATCCTCCTTAGAAAAAAGTCTTCTCAGATCTTTTACCCATCTTTTTATTGAGTTGTCTTTTTAATCAGTGAACACTATGGGCTCTTTATGTATTCCTTATCAGATATATGTTTGCAGATATTTTCTGCCCCTTTTGAGAATTGTCTTTTCACTGTCTTGATGGTATCTTTTTTTTTTTTTTTTGTCTTTTTCCTTTTTATCGGTACCAGGGATCGAACTCATGACTGCCTGCTCGCAAGGCAGGTGCTTATGCCGCTGAGCTAAATCCCCAGCCCCTCTTGATGGTATCTTATGAAGCACAAGAGATTTCAATTTTGATGTTCTGATTTATCTGTTTTTTTCTTATTGCCCATGTTTTTGGTATAACATTGCAAAATTCAAGAGCATGGTGAATTACTCCTATGTTCCCTAGAAGAATTTTATGGTTTGGCTCATACACTGAGGTCTGTGATCCATTTCAAATTAATTTTGTATACGATGGGAAACAAAGGGTCACACGGATTTTGCTCCAGGTATCTGAGCTCCATTTGTTGAAAAAAATAATTCCTCTCCATTGAGTGCTCTTGGCATTTGTGTTAGCCAGCTTCCCATTACTGTGATAAAACACCTGACATAAACAGCTTAAAGAGGAGAGGCTTATTTTGTCTCATAGATTTGGAAGTTTCACTCTGTGGTATGCTGAGTTCATTACTTGGGGCTAGGGGCAAGGCAGAGCATCACAGAGGCAGAAGTGTGTAGAGGAGGAGGCAGCCAGAAGCAGAAGGAGAGAGAAGACCCAGAGAAGAAGGGATTGGAGGCAAAGTGTAGTTCCCAAAGTCACCTTCCATGACTCCCTCTCTTCCAGTAGGCTCTACATCTATGGAACATGTTTCTTCAGCATCACCCACTGACTTGGTCCCTTACTGAAGGAGAGTTGTTAGAGACAGGAAACAGCACACACCACAGACACATTCTTGACAAGAGTTGCCAATGTCTGTCCTTGCAGGGGTCCTTTAGCCTCACTTGGGTACACACCACTCGCTGAGACTGCTTGAAATCATTCACTGGAGTTGACACACCAAATCTAATGGAGCTAGACGCTCTGACTTGGGCTCATGGGGCCACCAGACTCAGGCTTGTTCCTGGAGCTGCACAGGAAACACCTGGAAGGAGATAGAGGCTCTGGCTGCCTTGAAACCCCACCAGGTGGTGAGATATATTTTATGATTTGGCTCATATATTTCCATAATGCAGAAGACCATACTCCACACTCCAGGAGGGAATCTTCCCAGCATGGTATCAGCTAGGGCCAAACTCACAGGCCAATCTTAGGCCTGTGGTCTTTGGCTGCAGTGGTCAATACCTCTCCTAGGTCAGTCCTCTTTCTGTCCATCCAGAATCATCTGTCTGCTACTCCTGTGGATAGCAGTCTCTTGGCTTCAGGGGGAGCCCATTATGTGTGAACTCACATCCAGGTGTGAAGGGCCTGCACTTTCTAGGCTGAAGGCTGGAGACTTCTCAAATAGAAGTCCTTCCCACCAATTTGGCCATGACTCTAGGTCACTGGGTCACAGATTTAAGGCAAGCAGCACTGTGCAGTGGTTTTGTATTTGGGCTAGAATATCTGACTTCACTACAGAAAGTGATTCCAGCTCTCTTGGGTAGCTAGAATCAAGGAACTCATTCCTGACACCCCCAACTTCTCCCTGAGCTCCTCAGGGACCATCTCTGAGGTCTGAAGCTGGTGGCTATGCTTGGGCATTCAGATAAACCCAGTGACAAAACTGTGAGCTCTATGTAGCACCCTCCCCATAGCACTTCCTGCCTCCTTCCTGTGGCATGCACCCTAGGCCTGAAGCTCCACTATGGCTTGATTTATTGTGAGCAGGAAACCACCATGAGTTCTGGAGTCAGGTGTAGGCTGAAGGTTTTTAAGGGTTCAAAAATTTCTGTGAAAAAGAACTTCAGAGAAATTACCACCATCCCCACAAAAGTCTCTCATAAAGGGAAGGATAGTGGATCCCCAAGAGCCTCAAACAGAGCTCAGGGCTATGTTTTTGGAGTGGGCTGGAGAGGCACACAAGCCTTTCTCCCCAGCTTCTCCAAGTACTGGTTCAAGTGGGCAGGTCCTGATCTGCAGCCTGACAGGGACCCACCAGAGCTGCTGTACGAGTCGACACCTTCAGGGACTGCACAGCCTAAGCTCGTGTCTTGGACACATCCTGCACCTGCCATGGTCTAGCTGTAGTCTTGGCCATCTTCTGCTGCCTTGGCATGCTTTAGTTTCCCCACTTGTGAAATGAGAAGAGTGACAGCCCTACCTCCCTAGGTCACTCTGAGGGTAGAGATCTACGTGGTCCAGTTTATAGCAGCTGTCACCAGGGGACCCATTCTCACAGTGGCTGTGGGAGGCATGGGATTTCTGGAAGACAAGAGCCTCTGCTCTTCAGTTCACCTGCTCCTCCCACATTCTGCCCTGGACCCTGGCTGGTGGCAAGTTTCTTTGTTACCTCTTGTAGGTGACATTATTTTGACAGTCAGCCTGTCTCCTGGTCTTCATAATGGCAGCCACTTTCTGCAGGAGTAGGCAGCTGTTCCTGTCAATGATGGAAATCCGCTCTTCCTCCATCTGTGGACAGAGGGGACATGGGGAGCTGTTTCTTTCAGGACACTTGAGGTAGTGGATCCTGCACCTGCTTACCTGCTGTGGTTAACAGAGGCTGGGGCGGGAGCTAGGGGTTGGGATGTGCCAGGGCAGAGCCATAGGAATAACGAGGACGTGCACTCTCTCCTAGAATTAAGTTACTCTCTAAAGCTGACACAAGGCCATTGTGCTGATGATATTATTTCATATTTTAAGAGAGATGAGAATCATACATCATACTATGTAGGAGAAGAAACGTTTGACCTGGGGAAGGAATGTGCCCTCCATTTTAGGCTTTCATGTTGGCTGCTCTGCTGGTTTGCTTCTCTGTACAGCTATCTGAACCTTGATACTTGAAGGACACAGACAGGCACACAGCTTGCTGATGTGGAGACATTGCTATGAGCAAAACCATGTGGTTCTCACTCAAAATTGGCCTGAACTTCAGAAATAAATGTTCCAAGGTGGCCAAGAAACGTTCCAGTTTAAAACAATAATGCCAATTAATGATTCTGGGTTCTGCTGCGTAAGTGGTCACTGTGGCCAGACCTCCTGTGTCTCAGATGCAATGGGGCAGAGTGAAGGCCAGGAGAGGACATGCAGGACCAGTCACTGGCTCCAGACAACTCCCCCTTGGGCTGTTTAATGTGCACATATATGAGTGACCAAGACATTGGCCAAGGGGAAGCTGAGCAATTACCTTGAGCTTCTTGAACTTCACATGGAGGTGGTAGCAAGTGGTGGGGTGAAGGTGTCCACCAGAGGCCAGACATTCTGGACCTGGGGTAGAGAGAGAATGGTGAGACTCAGGAGTGGTTCAGCAAACAGCTGAAGTGGGCTTAGCTGTGCAGACTCTGAGGTACAAGGGCTGGGGATACTGTGAATTACAGAGCCAAATCAGCTACACCAGAAAATGATGAGTCCTGATCTGAAACAGAAGGGAATGTTGCCTGGAAAGGATGTACGCCCCAAAGAAGGAACCCACGGTTTATGTTCCACTGGACAATCCAATGAGTACAGGGTGAAAGTACGTTAACTGCTAACAATCACAAAATTGTCTTGTGCGATGTACTACAGGATGACCTTTGTGCAGTGAGTCAGTAGTCCGTGGATGAAAAGAATGAGGTGATTCCATCCTGCTGCCACCACACTTACCTTGCCCTCCAGCAGTGGCCAGGACCAGTGCCCTCACCACCACCAAAACAATCAGGCAGTGTGTAAGGTTCAAAATTGCGCAACTAAGTGAAAAATGCTTATTTTAAGATGTACTAGACTAGATTAGTAGCAGATTAGTAGATTAGACTAGATTAGTAGCAATAGTAGATTAGTAGATCGGTAGCAACAAACAGCCAGTTGAGGCATGTCATAGGTTTGCCGCCACTGAGCAAATGCTTGTGGGCTGTGTGAATTATTGTTTGTAACAATAGGAATCCACTCGATTGAAGATATTTGACTTTCAGAACCTATAGGTGATAAGCCAAAGGTGATTGCATTGATTGATGCTGAAAGAATATATGAATGACAAAGTATACATTCACAATTGATGGACAAAGGCCCTCATGCAGAAGTATCAGAAGGGACAGTACATGGGGTATTCTGGAGACCACTCAGGGAGAGGCAGCAGTGGAGCACTATGGCCACAAACTCTGTTACTGAGTGGGAAAAGGCAAAACTGAAGCAGCAGGGATTATTGCCCCTGGTGTAAAGTTGCCAGATGTTGTCAGATGGCTGTGGGGTGTGGATGGGGTTGGGTGAAGGGAGAGGGGAGACAGGCTCTCATGGCCCTGAGGATACCTGGTGACCCTGAGTCAGAGAGAGGTGGTAAATGGGTTGGGACATGGTCATCAGATGCTGTGTTGGATCATCTGGATCACCACGTGGACTTTCCAGAAGGACATGTGCTCTGGAGATCAAGCAAATTTAAGATTCAGCACTGATGTTAGAAATACAACCTTGGGACCGGGGATTTAGCTTAGTGGCCTAAGTGCCTGTCTAGCAAGTGCAAGGTCACAGGTCATGAGTTCAATCACTGGTACAAAAAGAAAGAAAGAAAAGAAAAACACAACCCTACCTTGCCTCTTTGTAGGATGGTGAAGACCATTGAACACCCTATGTCATCTCCCCTCTGCTTCTACCACTGGACACTGGGCAAGCATTTCCCTCAAGGAAGGACTGGAGATGAATGTAGAAGCCATTGTGGTAAAGATCAGTAGGGCCAGGACCCCAAGAGAGCACAGCTCCATTTATATAGGAAGAAGCAGGTACCACAGTGACCAATGGGCAATACCATTGTATTGCCCACAGAGACACAGAGACACAGGTACCACAGAGACACAAGTGCTAGGGTGCCACCAGTCTCGATGCTTGAGAAAGATTGGCCCCATTACATTGTCCTTCAGTCAGAGCTGCAAGGTCTGCATCTACGTGTAAGGAAGCATTCAGAGAAATACAGTGTGAAGAACATTCTAGAAACAAGTGTCCTCTGTGCTTAAGAAATGTCCACGTCATAGCAAACAAAGGACACTTGGGGCTGATCTGTGTACAATATAAGCCAGGAGAAGAGGCTTGTTTTCTTTCTTTTGGTCTGGCTGCTGCCTTGAAGTATTGCCCCACTGCCATGCCAGCCTGCCTTGTAGCCAGCTGATTATGGACTGAAACCTCCATAAACAGTGAGCTAAATAAACCCTTCCTTCCTTCATTTTGGGTGTTACGTATTTTGTCTCAGCAATGAGTAAAGACAAGACAAGACAAGACAAATGGCAATGGTTCTTTAACCAAATACCCATGCGCTGTTCCCATTGCTGTTGTTACCCCAACTCTGTTTCCTCCCTTCTTTGCATTAAACCACAAGTAAAAATGTCCAAACATTGTGATAAGTTTATAGGGTCTCTTTGAATTCCATTCCCCGGAGACCAGACCATTTGTCCTACAGAGTTTTTCAGTCTGTACTTTGATGATTGCATGCCTGATGTTCTATAAATTGATATTAGAATTTCAGTTCAATTTTTTCCCCTTGGCAAGAATAAGCCATGGGTAGTTGTGTGACATTGTAGCAGGAGGTACCAACTTCTGCTGTTGTGTTTTGTGTTGTTAGGAACAATAGATGTTTCCAGATCCAGTGCATGATTGAAGTAGAAACCTGACTGAGGTCAAAATATTTTAATTCCATCACTTGTGATGCATTTATTTGGTAAAATACTACAAAGGCAAACTTTGCCTTGGCAGGACAAATGCCAGATTCTCATTATTTACCAGTTTTGGAAATAACCATGTTTGGTGTATTTCTGTCCAACTGATCCCATTTTAGACCAGGAAGAGCCTCTTCTTTAGGCTGGAGCTCCATGATGACACTAGCAGTCTTGAATGCTTCCTAGCCCTCTGGTTTGAGGTGGTGCAGGGTTTGTGAATGTGCAGTATAACCTAGAGCCACCATCCCAGGACCAGTTCTAGAGGAAAAGGCTTCAAGGACCTAGGGTGACAATTGTCACTGTCAGAAAGTTGTGGCTTTCAGTTGCTGCTATGGATGTACCACACTCTTGCAGTCCAGGACTATGTTGCTGATGAACCTCCTGCATCTCAGGACAGTGAGATCCTTCCTCAGTTCTAAATGATACCAGCAGGGTGGCTTTCTACTGTCCTGAAACACAGGAGCAGAACTGACGCTCCAACCACTAGTACAGCTACTGAAAATGCTTTCATCCTTCTCATTGCTTTGTTGTTGGGGTCTTGCTGCAAGTGTACAAGTTACTGAGCTGGAATTGTTCCTATCAGTGTGGCTATTACACCAATTGCACATACATTTAAGTTCATTTAATTCTAAATAGTTTAGAATTCTTTTGTTTTGTAATATGTAAAATATTTACATGGTTCCAAAGTCAAATCTGCTAAAAATACTTGTTGTAGTTAGGGGTTGTGCAGAGAACAATTAGAATCAGAATATGGAGTTTATAATATTATTTTTATAATGGACACCAGGAGTCAACACAAGAAAATGCAGGAAATCTATCCACAACACCAAAGACATAGATTATTTAGTCAAGAGCCTAAATCCCACAGCAATTTCCCACTGAGTCCAGATAAAAACCCAGAGCTCATGACAATGCCTCCCATGAGTCCAACTGGAGGTCAAGAGCCCACAAGAAGGACTCACACCAGTCTCTTTTATGGATCCGTGCCAGGAAGGCCCAAAGGTCAGCGGTGGGAACCAGAAAGTCTATGCCAGCAAATGAAGGAGCTGTGCTGGTGGGATGAGGGTTCTATGCTAGAGCCGAGAAGTCACACTCACAACAAAGACCAGGGCTGTCCCTGGTCTGAAAGGGGGTATGAAAGGCACCACAGCTGTCCTCAGTGACACGGAGGCACCAAGCTCCTCTGATGATGAGCACAGTTGGGTACATGCCAGGAAGCAGCGTCACGAGTTCATCCTGGAGACCAAGCAGCACACATTTTCCCCTCCAGAGCCAGGAAGCAATGCTCGATAAGAGGACCAAAGCTTCTCCAGGAAAACCAGTGGCTCAAACAACAACTCATAGGAAAACCCACAATGCCTCAACGCAGTAATGCCTTAACATCGCAACCCTTGGGCTGGGGATTTAGCTCAGCAGCATAAGCGCCTGCCTTGCAAGCAGGCAGTCGTGAGTTCGATCCCCAGTACCGATAAAAAGGAAAAAAACAAAAATATCTCAACCCTGAACACCTCCCTCCTTCTCTACCTATTTATGCTGGCAACTTTTCTCAGGTGGAGCATCTTCACTCAGTACCATGCTGATGTAATCCAGCTGGTGTTAAGTTGACCACCAGTTCTTAATCCATAACAACACTTTTCCCCAAGATGCCCAGATTCTCTTACCTTCACACTGTTCTCAAATGACAATTACCCAAGTTTTACAGTTGCTTCTTACATTTTTAAAAATATAAGAATATGTGTATATATAATATATATACATTTATTTGTTTATGGGTTGTGTGTCACATTTTCATTCCCTGTTTTAGACAAATATTGTATATTGACACATTTTTCTTCAAATTACTACTTTGTTAAATGACATATATTAATCAGTCTGATTTTCATTACTATAATTCACTACCTGAGGCAGGCAACTTTACAAAGCAAAAGAAGTTCATTTTGGCTCATGGTTCTGGTCCAAGGTTCAGGGGCCACATCTGACAATGTCCTTCTCACTGGCAGAGTCTCCAGGCAGTACAAGACATTAGGTGGCAAGAGACAGAAAGCTTATCATGTCCTTTGTTCTCTTCCTCTTATCTTATGAAGTCATCAGATCCAGTTCCGAGAGCTCCTTGATGCTCTTATCTAATCTTGATCACCTCCCAAAGGCTCCCTCTAAATATATATCACAGTCAGATTAAGTTTCCACCCTTTTAATACCTCACCATGGGCATAAGTCCAAGACACAAGGCCAAAGGACACCCACACCAGATCCAAACCTAGCACAGTCACTCCAGAAAGGACTGATAGTGGTGTATGGAGATGTTTCCTCTTCCTTTTTACAGCTGTATAGTATGCCATTGTGGGACGTTCTCTAACTTATTTACCCAACTTCCTGTTGATGGACATTTGAATCAGTTTCAATTTTGCTATTACAAAAAAGAAGCTGCAATTATAATCTCTTGCAGTTTGTTTTTGTATCTTTGCCAACTACTACTGCATATGTGGTTTTATTAGCTATAACTTGCCCTACCCCCAGAGCCGTGCCTACCTGTGTGCCCACTAACACACTGGGATAGTATCTTGTTCCCCATGGTGCCACCAGCAACTTCTG